CAACCTCTTCAGCACCACTTCAACTGTCAATGTTAATGATTTACTACGTTTTTTTTTGTGTGCTGCCTCACCGCAGTCGCAAGCATTCTGTTGGGAGCTGAAGTATGCAAAAATGTCGGCTGAAAAAGGCGATTAAGGGAGTGTGAACGCAAAGTTTTTCCCAGCAACCAAGCGCATGAATTACACATTAGCAAAAGCTTAAGCGCAAACCCTTGGCCAGGAAGCAGACAGTCAGGCAGGCAGGCAATCAATGCTATGTACATGCTTACAGAGACTGGAAACAAAAAAAAATCTAGTAACGCACTTTGCCCTAAAGGGATCTTGTTGGGCAGCACGTAGGCACACTGTAGCGCATGTTGTCGTAAATATGGCTGTGTGCCGTGCCGTGCCGGTGTGTTTAAATCGATGTGTGCGTGCAGAGTAATTGAACATGTCACACGAGCAATCTTATCAGTATTTTAGGCATTTGCGTACCTAAGCGCCAAAGTGCTATTTTGCGGCATAAGCTGGCAACCTTTCTCCTACCACAGCACACAGCATCCTTTCTATTTATCTTCATTTGCAGCATTGTGTGGTATCCAGTTGGCTATTATTTCACAACCTGCTTGCAAGAACTTTTTAAGCAACGCCACAGACATGCATACAACTCAATCTCCCCTTCCGCCATTAACCTTTCTCATTTGCCTTTTTGCCATTAAACGCCCACAAATGCTGATTCATTTCAATTGATATACCTTTATTTTGTTTTAAATATTTTTCTGTTGTTGTTGGAGGAAGCAAATCTAAAACAAAGCTTGCGCAATAAAGGAACCTGACTGTGCGGGCGGTGCGGTGGGACGAGTGTGTCAGGTGTGTGGCAAGAGATATGAAACTAGCTTCGCGGCTTGAATTGGCGGGAAGTGTAAGTGTGCCTGTGGTTGGTCGGTCGGCGTAACGTATGTACGTGAATTCAAGTTTTTATGTTGAAAGTTTGACAATTCAAAAACTTTTGGAGGCACATCGCAAATAGCAATAAAAATGGAATAAAACACAAGTATCTAAGTTTAATTTCTAGTGGAACTGTACGTTGAATACCCAATGCAAATCTTTGGTAGTTTTTAAAGTCCGCGTTGAGAAATTGGAACGGTTATTGCGGTCTCCTAGAAATCCTAGAAATTCGATTTGCTGATGGTGATCACCTCACGACAATCAATAACACATCTCCGAGTGTATTTCACAGTAGTTCAAAGCTGGCATTTACTGTTCATAATACACTGGAGCATTCATGCTCCACTCAATTTATTAATTTTTATTTTTCTTTTTATGAGATCTTATAAAATTTGCAAGAGACCGGTTGAGCCCGATTTTTGAATTTTCATTTCCTTGTATTATTTTTTTTGTAGCAATTTTAAAGAAAATTGATTCACCTGCTCCAGTTTATAAATGCAATAATCAAAATAGTTAAAAACAATTGTAGGGATCATCCAAAACGAAATAATCCAAAAAAAAATTGAAATATAAAAAAAAATGTTTACCAAAATAAAATTTTTGTATTTTTTAAAGAAGTTTTGGGTTATTATAAATCAACGCCACTTAAAACTTCCACTGCATACTCTTACATACAAATTTTTCTAAAAACTCAAATAAAAAATATTTTTAATTTTCGTAACATTTTTTTATAACATTTCAATTTCTTCTGTAATTTTTTTTTTCATTTTTGCTGAACCATAAAATCGTTTTTAACTAGTTTTAATTATGTAGCATTTATTAGCTGAAGCAAGAAAATCGATTGTCTTCAAAATTGCTATTTTTCCGCATTTTGCATTAAAAAATTGTATTTAAACATATAAGAATTCGAAAATCGGGCTCAATTGGTATATTGCTAATTTTATTAAACAGCTTTCATTAAATTAATCAAATTGGTTGAAAAATGTGAAATATGAACATTAAATTCTAGTTTTTAACCATTGTGCATTTGCTGTTGAGACCCGACGCAAAACTGTGGGTTCTTAGCTTTGTGTGACAATATACTACACAAGAAGAGGCAAATCCAACTTTGGTTCTGCCAACCTTGCTGTTTTAGCCCTTGAATATTCTGACGAGGTTAAATAAATATGCATAAGTCATGTTTTCTCCATTTGCTGTGTATACCAAATTTCGTTGAGATCGACCAGTATAGGTTTTTTTTTAATTTACCCGATAAAAACACCCAATAAGCCAAGTCATACAATAGATTATTATATACCGTTTTAAAGGCCTACATATCCTATTCTCAGATCATAGTCGATCTTGGAAATCGAATCAAAAATAGTCATTCAAAAACTCATTAATCTACAAAATAGTACTTTCTGACTTAAATCGACAGGTCGCGACCTCTAAATGACCTTTAAAAATATATATAAAAATAGGCAACAGTATTTCTCATAAAAACGAATAAAATTAGGGGGCAGGGTCTTGAAATTTTCAAAAAAAAAATATTTTCTATGGGCACCCTAATTTAAAAATTTTAATAACTAGAAAAATGTTGAATTTCTGATACGGCGTACAAGGGAATCTGTTATGGCAAAAAATTCCTAGTGAAAATCTTAGCTCGGGAAGCCTGGATAAAAGGCTTTACGCATCGTCTTCATACGACTCGAAACTCTTAATTAATAAATGTGTAAACTCGAACATAGTAAATACTGTTGTACTATAATGAGACCTGGAATAATCCAGTCTCTTTTCCAATCAATCACTAAGCTAAATTCAATAAATATTTTCAACAGAAATGAAATCAGATTACTTATTTGTTACCTAACTGGCCACAACCGAATTTGTGCTCATTACGCCAACTGGGTTTGTACTTCGAGACAGAATCGGACTTTATCTTGAGGACGACAAAATCATACAGTGGGTTTAAAAACATGACAACGACTTTACTAGCTTTAAGGTATTTTCGACGATTTTATTTTATGCCTTCTTTATTTTCACTGGCCCTAATTTTGCGCGTCACTTTGGCCTTGTTTTTCGTTTGTATTTATACGAGTAGTTCCATGTCGTTTTTCCTCTTTTACGCATTATCGCGAATTTCCAACTTTTACTGCCAATCACTTGTTTGGCTTTTTTTATATGTGTTTTTAAGTAGTTGTGTCTCGTTATCGCTTTTTCGCTTCCTGTCAATGTGGCAGATTTAACTAGTAGGCGAACAAATTTCTGAAGTTTGTCATAAAACTAATTGAAGTCGTTTTTCGGTGATTTAAATTATGAGCGTATTCGTATTCTGAGCTTTCATTTAAATTTTTACTGTACTTTATTTTTGCAGAAACAGTTTGTGTACAAGCAAAAAAATCTGTAATATTTTCAAAGTGTAGGCAATGTGAAGAGGCGTGTGTGGCGTTTATTAATTACGCAAAATGTTGGCTGCTGTTTGATGATTTGAAATTTGGGTTAAAAATATGACCGAACAGTACCGATTCGAAGTGCGGAAAGTGTTTGATTGATAGCACATGTGCGTGTAATCCAATTGTATCTGTTGGCTTTTTCTACGTAAGATAGGCATATATGATGTTTGATGATTTCTTAAATAACTAGCGGTATTCCAATATTTCTCTTGTTTTAAATAAAAAAAAAAATTAAGTTTTTAATAGGAACTCTTTGGCGTTAGAAAATACACTTGAATTTCCTTAAAGAATGAAAAGATTTTATGGTACTTAAAGCGCTAAAGTTTTTAATTTTCATATTTTTATTTGGTTTCGTAAAAATAAATTTTTCAAAATTTTGCCAAAAGTTTCTCAGTATTTTTAGAGGTCATAGGAAATTGGAGAGGTTGTCTAGATAGAAAATATAAGTATATGTAGCTTCAAGTTTGAATTTTTCTTAAAGTTTCGAAAAAAGTAGTCACTTAGATTTTTACTCAAATAATTTTTGAAATTTAAGAAATAAAGTCGTTCGTAAATTTTCAAAAATACGACCTTGTGAATTGAAAAAATTCGGATTTGACGTAACTTTTTTTAATATTTTTGAAGAAAGTTGGTTATTTTTCGAAAAATTTTGGGCATTTATAAATATGCTAGCGTTATTTTGGGGACTTTTAAAAATAAAAAAAATACAATTTTCTAATTTTTTTTTTAATGGCGGATTTTTATTTATATAATGATGAATATTAGAGTATTATTACTTAAGAGTAGCCTATATTAAAAAAAAAAAAAAAAAATTTATAAAAAAATTGTTTTTTTAGATTCAAATTTTTGGGAGTAAGCGAAATGTTTTAAAATTGTTTTGTATTAAAAAAACTTTTAATTTTCTCTTTTCGAAAACTATTATTATCAATGCCTAAATACTCCCAATTCCAATGATATTCTCCTTACCCTTCAAAAAGCAAAAACAAATTTCGATTCACTTAAATGCTATCACTTCTTAAATCACATCAAATGCACTAAAGGGGTTAACTCAGCACGTTCATCTCCAGCTGGCTGGGCACAGATTTTCCTAATCCGCAGTAAATAGAATAAACTGAATTATTACTATACGAACAACTAATGCAACGCAGTGAATTTAAAACGCTACTCATCTAAGCGTTTGTTATCCAACAGTAAATCAGTTATTGTTGTTGTTATTATGGCAGTAGCATAAAATTTACTTAATTACCGTCGGGAACGCTTAGAGTGACCTTAAGGGAGCCCGACATCATCAGGTGGCGCGTGAATAGAGCGGAAAGAAAGTATTCAGTTTGCCATACTTTACATATTTAATTCCAGGCGCTAAAAGTACCAAAGAGATGCAGAAATAGCGAAAATATTTGCCAGCAGTAAAAGTGTTGTGTAATTTGAAATGTAAGCTCTTAGCGTTGGTTAGCGCGAGCCAAGCTATTGTTTAAGTTCAAAAATTAAATTATCTGAGGAAATAAGAGTATTTGAGTTTTCAGCAAATTCATTGTAAAATTCACTAATTTATATGCTGAGCTGTGTTCACTACACTTCGTTGTCTTCATTTCCGCTTCTATTCCGTAATAAACAATACTTTCTCTTATCTTCTTTTTGCAGTTACAAGTCTTCGATGCCAACAAGGATGGACGTCTGCAACTCTCCGAAATGGCCAAGTGAGTAAATATGTATTCATTTCGCTTTGTTTTGTATTTTGTTTAAGCGCTTTGCGAACATTTTGTTCAGTGTACTTAAAAAGCATTTGTAGCGCTTCGTTGGGAAGTGTAAAGTTTTTATTTCTGTCTGATTGTGTTGACATTGGCAGTTAAGAGTTTACTGGCGTAAGAAATTGCATTTTTGCTACTTGCTTGATTTTTCAAGCGACTGGTAAATGAGTTAAACTTTTTGGGGATTCTTTTATGATGCAACTGTTTATGGAATTAAAATGGCGAGGGTGCTTATTGTGGCCGTTTCGACCACTATAATTTTATGAATTCAAAAAGCATGCTTTTTCGGAGCTAACACCAATTAAGCTTGTAGAAAAGAGAGCTCAGAATTCTTGCTGTCAAAATTTTTATCTTATCATCTGTTGCCAAAATTGTTTCTGATATGAGTCATTGTACTATTTTCATTCTCCTTTTACTCTGTTTAAAATCTATACCATCTATGAATAAATCTAGCAAATTGTTGGGTGTTAAAATGCTCAGGAGTTCGTCTCTCAACACCAAAGGTCTCATTCCTAATTCTGGCAAGTTCCGCTTTATCCCCTTCAAAACAGGATGGAAAATCTTTATTATTTCCCCAAGCAAATAATTTCAATATACATGCTTATTTTTGCATCCAAACCTTTGCTTTTTTCATTCTTTTTTTTATTGTATCTGCATATTTTATGCATTTCTACCTTTTCTATTTTCGTGAACTGCAAGACAACTTAAGGCAAACTGATTTCCTTCTCACAATTTCTGCTACCGATACTCTTTGTTTATTTTCCTCACTTGACCTGCTCTGGTGAACATTTCCGTATTACTAACTTTGCACTGAAAGTAGTATGTACATTTGTAATCTCCCTTTATTCATGTCCGATTCAATCATTTCCCACTCATTAACATACATACGTACGTATTTTTCTGCTATTTGACATGTTTATTTTCTCTCATTACAGATTGCTTCCGGTTAAAGAGAATTTCCTTTGTCGTCAAGTTTTCAAGGTAAGTGCTGAATGATTTGCATTTTCTGCTATTCACCCTTTAAAGCCCAACCAACTAAACGGATTTCAACCACTGTCGGGACACAGATAAAAAAAGGCAAGATAAAAATAAAAATTGAAGGAAATTATAATGAAAAAAGTTTGAAAAATGAAGGTATTGATACATATACATACTTTTGCTTATAGTTAAGCTGAAAAGGGTTTCTAGCAAAGAATGTAGCGGAAGGAAACCATTTAAATCAACAGTTTTTTATAAACTTAATTAAATTGAGTGCAAGCAAAAAGAAATCAGAACAATCGCTGTCAGCAGATGAGGCATGCGATTGACATTAATTGCTTAAGAAAGCCAAAGTACTTGGCTAGTAGTTATATTTAGAAATACTTAAGTATATGTAAATGTGTATAATTTTTCTCAAAGAACGTTTTGGATGGATATAATATAATCGTTAGGTATAAACTGGCACTTAGGCCTTGATTGTGATAAATTATGGAAGTACATTTTTAATACATTTAGTTTTTATGCATTACATATTCTTGGTCTTTACCGCTTACTACTAGTAATGCTTTTGAAGAAAGTGCGACTGATTTAAGTTATATTAAGTTGCAAATTGCACAAATCTATATATGTATTTCTTCTTTTATTAAAATTTTTTTAATAAGGCACATTTTTGTGCATTTTTTTGAGTTGTAGTTTCTTATTGTTTTATTGTGTTAAAAAGCGTTTAGAAAGTGATTTAGAACGCAAATAATAATTGCAAAAGGGAAGCTATATCTGTGTGAAAAAATAATACAGGCATAATTAAAAAAAAAATAATAATATAAAAAATATTAATTTTTTATTCGCTAGAGCCCAAGCACATCCATTGGCAACAAGGAAANGTTAAGTTATATTTATTTGCAAATTGCACACATCTATATATGAATTTCTTCTTTTATTAAAATTTTTTTAATAAGGCACATTTTGTGCATTTTTTGAGTTGTAGTTTCTTATTGTTTTATTGTGTTAAAAAGCGTTTAGAAAGTGATTTAGAACGCAAATAATGATTTCAAAAGGGAAGCTATATATGTGTGAAAAAATAATACAGGCATAATTAAAAAGAAAAAATAATATAAAAAATATAAAAAATATTAATTTTTTATTCGCTAGAGCCCAAGCACATCCATTGGCAACAAGGAAATATATTTTTGTATCGAAATGACAACATCGTGCGACAGTGAATTTTACACACAAAAAATTAATATGCTCGCAAACCCCCCTATAATAAAACTCTTTTTTTTCTCTTTGACGTCAGATATGATTTAATCATAAAATTATTAATAAAATTCAGTGCAAAGTAGAAACATAGCTTGGGTATCAAATGAAATGGAAAATTCTGTAGAATTAAAAAAGTTTAATTATTTTGGTGCAAAGGCAAGCCTAAGTCCTATGGATCATCCTATATATAGAAATCTTTATAGGTATATGCATTTATCGCCAAGTTTATCTCAATATACATCAAAAACGGCATCTTTATTTCGATATATTTGGCTTCGATATACAATTTATCTATATATTTAGCGTCTACCACGTGTAAATTATTGCTAATTTTCCGCAACATTTTTTTTTATTAACAACAAATAATTCATTATCGTTATTTTTTTATACATATCTTTATAATATACACATATATACATATGTATGTATNTGATGATTGATTCATAAAATTATTAATAAAATTCAGTGAAAAGTAGAAACATAGCTCGGGTATCAAATGAAATGCAAAATTCTGTAGAATTAAAAAAATTTAATTATTTCGGTGCAAAAGCAAGCCTAAGTCCTATGGATCACCCTATATATAGACATGTTTATAGGTATATGCATTTATCGCCATGTTTATCTCAATATACATCAAAAACGGCATCTTTATTTCGATATATTTGGCTTCGATATACAATTTATCTATATATTTGGCGTCTACCATGTGTAAATTATTGCTAATTTTCCGCAACATTTTTTTTTATTAACAACAAATAATTCATTATCGTTATTTTTTTTATACATATCTTTATAATATACACATATATACATATGTATGTATGTTGATATTCATCGTGGCGAACGATATATATTAGGGCGGTGTAATTTGTTCGGAGCAAAATTTTCAAAGAAAGTGTATAGCAAATTCAACTTTTAAGATTAATTCTAAGCAACAATGGTGAACAAACTATAGACCAAAAAAGACATTTGACCCTCCCAATTTTCAAAAGAAAAAGTAGTATATTGTATGAAGAAAACACAAAATGTTGTAAATGGTAAATTAATTTAGTTCAGAAAAAATGATTAAACGCTGATTTTTTTTTAATTTTTTTGTATAAATGTAGTTTGTACACCACTTTTGTTTAGAACCGAACGTTGAATTTTAAAATGACATAGACTTTTTTCGAAATTAAATTACTCCGCCCTAATATACATACATAAAACTTATTTTTATATCGAAGAAAACCACAACTCCTTCGGGGGAAAAAATCTAAAAAATCAACGGTAATTTTTGGCCACTTCAAACTTGCACATTATTGCACTATAATTGAATAGATATAAAACTGTAAACTTAAAAAATTTTAACACTTCTGAGAAAAAATTTTGAAATTCGGATGAAAATTTGATGATTTTTTTTCAGTGTTCTGCAAAGTTTCCAGCTTGAAATTGTTTGGCGTTTGCTATAGGCGGTATAAACGGTGCGTCTGGATCGCGAGTTGGTTTAGATGTGTTAGTGAAAATAAATATATTTATGTTAGTTACACCGACATGACTCTGAACGACTCTACTGTTTGTGGCCGAAAGGCGAGTTAACACATACCCAGATGACTCGCGAGTCAGACGCAACGCCTATGGCGCCTATTCGGGAATGAACTGTAATTTAATTGAAAAATTTCAAAAATTAATAAATAAGTATTAGTGAAAAAATATCATTTCAATATTTTTAATATACCTGGCCAAAAAGCTCCAAATACAATAGCATTAAACTTTCAACCTTGACCTAAGAAAAAATATGTAATATCATTTTTAATTTAGTCCAAAATGATATGTCCAACACGGTACGTACATGGCGTATGAGTTACTCAGATGAGATTAGAATGTTACTCATACGCCATGTACATACGTACGTTGGATTTTAACTTTTCCATGATAAATGGTAGATCCAATATGGATCTATTAAGAATTTTTAAAATGTGGCACCAGATTTGAGTCCAGCATTCATCGTAAAAATAGTTCAAGACTCTTTGAGAGCTTTTTCTTATTGCTGCATTCCCTATTTATTTACCTATGCACGATAGCAATTAGTGTGCCAAAAAGTATGAATTGGCGTCAATGCTTTTTACCCCCCTTTTATTAGCTCGGGATGTAGCTATGTAATATTGATGCGCCTAAAAGATGCAGCGATTTCTATTCTCAAGTTAAATACCTGATAACAGTACGAATGGAAATTATAAAAGCGAGGCTTTAGTTTTTAAACTATAATTTTATTTTCATTACAAACATGTTCAGTCCTATGAGAATTTATCTAATGATGTTTGCAAGAATTTCTGAAAGTTTACAGTTTCAAGTCGGCTGTATAGCTAAAGTGTGAATGATTTTGATAAGAAATCACGAAAAGAAATAATTTTCTAAGCAAACGAGAATAACAAGAAATAACCACACTACTATTTATAAATCCACTTTTTCTCTCTCCTCCATAACTGCTTTAAAAGAAGCGCAAAAGCTGCAAACCAAGCATACGATTTTCATCTTCTGAATTTTGGAAAAACTCCACAAAAAATTTACGACTGAAATATTGCAATATCACTGGTCATTCTGACCATATTTTAACACTCTATTCATCTTTTATCTACAACTGTGTACATTTCAACAGCCCATTTTATGCTCTACTTTAGCTGCGTGCCTCTTTCATCTTTCATTTCTGTTTGTCTACGAATATTTGGATTTTAAAAAAAGCAAAAGTTTCCTTCTAACTTATTGAAAAAGTTAGCAACATTTGTGACACTGACAGACATTAGCCTTATAAAATTTTGGATGAAATTCAATTCGTGGACAAAAGAGATAAATGTGGCGTTGTGTATTTGCAAGATTCTTTGGAAAATTTAAGTTGCATTGTAATCCAAAAAGTTGCGAAGAAGTTGTAGAAAGTTTCACACAAGTGCCACTGAAATTAGAATTAAGCTCGCAGGCTAATTTGGCAACGATTGAGAATACTGCGAGCAGAGAATGTATTTTCTTTTGTTTCTTTTAACTTTTTGTGTTGGCATTTTAGCGCAATTTAGAATGAGATTGAGTCATTTGAGGAAACTTTGTTAACAAGCAAAAATATATATAAAGCTTTAATTTTTTTAAATTATGAATGTTGAAAATAAAATACGTAGGTAAAATTAAATTAAAGTATTTGAAAACATTAGTTACAATAAAAAAAAAATTTTCTCATACAGGTGCATGAAATTATGCTACGAAGTGTTCTCGTCTTTCGAATTCTTTAGTGCATACTAAAAGCAGTACAGGGAACAAAAGACATCACTTCTCAAATGAATTTGTAAAATAAAATTTCGCTTAAATCCCCACCTAATCCTCAATGTTCCTCTACCTCATGCCTTACTCACTCTAAACTCGTTCTATCTCTGCCAGCTGGATAGTCTACGGAACTCTTTTCACTACCTTCGATCCACATGTGCCCAAATTAACCTTGCAACTTAGTATGGGGATTGCTAAGCCGACTTTTGGCTCACTTCTTCAGGGGCAGTCTTAATAAATATTCACCACTTTAAAGGGTGTCATGCTGTTAAGAAACCAGTCAGTAGTTTCATTAATGACAAATTCCCCACGCGGTTTACATTGCAGTGATTAGAAAGCCTTAACTTCAGAGTGCACCATCGGTGGGAGCTACACCTAGGTCTGGTTCCGCAGAGTAAAACTAAACCAGTCATTACCTGACGGGTAAGCACGTACACCGGTCGCATCTGGCTGGAAAGAAC